AGGTATATGTGGCTGGCGCCTTAGCCGCTTGAGCCACAGGCGCCGAGCCTCCATCATGTTTTGTAATATGGAATCAACATAAATGTCTGAGTGCAGGAGGTTGATTCAGTCATTCTCAGTGTTTCTATCCCACAGAGGCTGGGCTAATCTGTAGGGACTCTTCATTTTTTTCCTCTCATAGTCCCAATCTCTGTTACCCAGACTGCGGTGACCTGATCATACTCGCTGCACTTTCCAATTCCTGTGCTCAAGTTATCCTCCCGTCTCAGCCTCCCACATAGCTGAGGGAACAGGTGCGCAGCCCTGCATCTGGCTGCTTGTTTTTTCTGTTTATAGGAGAGAGGGTCTCATGATGTTACCCAGGCAGAAGTTGAACTTCTGGCATCAAATAATCCTCCCACATTGACCTGCTAACCTGCTTGGATTGCAGGCATGAGAGACAAGCCTGGGTACACAAAATTCTTTAGTCAGTATTTCATCGTGATATTTAAAGTGCAAGTTTCTGATGATAATATTGACTAATAATATATGTCCTAATATGTTGATGTTATTTAGCAAGTTATCTGACTTGTTCTTTGAAAATTATGTTTCTGTTTCTTCAACTTATAGTACCTGAAGTCCACTGGGGTTCCAACAGTGTATCCCCGTGGATAAGGATGTTCTACCCTATTCTGTATCCAGCATTGAAAACTAAGGCACAGTGTTCTGCATTTGTGAGGGCTGAGATCAGCCTGTGCTCCACAGAGTGGTGAGAGAGGCTGAACTCTGCCTGGGTTTTCATCAGGGACTAGTCTGTGACCTGGAGGGGAGCTCAGTCCAGCCCAGCTCCCTTGGTGCATTGTCGGAGTGGGCTTCACTGGGAGTGCAGCAGGTCTGTAAAAATGGTCCAGAAACTCTGCATTGGTGTTTTTTTTTTTTTTTTTTGAGACAGAGCCTCAAGATGTTCCCCTGGGTAGAGTTCCGTGGCATCACAGCTCACAGCAACTTCCAACTCCTGGGCTC